AGGTTTCTTTTTTAATATCTCCTCTGAAAGGGAATTTGTTAATCTCTAATGAGCTTTAGTTTCAAAATTCAAATTTGTATGCTCTATATTCACTGTATAGGAGCCCTAGTGGTGCAGTGGTTAAAGCTCTCAGCTGGAAACCAAAAGGTTGGTGGTTCGAACCCACCAGATGCTCCAGGGAAGAAAGATGTGGCAGTCAGCTTCCATAGAGATTAATGGCCTTGGAAACCCTACCGGACAGTTGTGCTCTGACTTATGACTATGAGTCAGAATCACTGGAGGGCACTGGGTGGATTATATTAACTATAGGAGTTCTGGTGGCACAGTCATTAAGCACTTGGCTGCTACAAAAAGATCAGAGGTTTGAATCCACCAGATGTTCTGGGAGAAAGATGGTGGTAGTCTGCTTTTGTAAAGATTACAGTCTTGGAAACCCTCCAGGGCAGTCAGTTTTACTCTGTCCTGTCAGGCTGCTATGAGTCAGAATTGACTTGATGGCAACAAGTTTGGTATTTTGGTTTATATTCAGTGTGAATCAAACAATAAAAACAAGGTTATTTGCGTTAACATTTCAGATTAAGGCTCAGCTCCCTAAAAGTTCGACTTTAAATTATCATTCAATTTTCTTAACTGCCACAGCTGTGAAATTAAATTTTAGAAAAATCTGAACATGTCTGTTTTAAATGTCAGTTGAGTTTATGGGCATTTAGTGAAATTTTTCAACTGTTTTGAAAGTTTGAAAATTTTCATAATAAAAAATTAGAAAATAAACCTATACTTATCTAGAATTTTGGAGACTAAAGATATACAAATACTCCGATTAGAGTGAAATATTAAATTATCGTTCCTTCACTTGGGGTAGAAGGGGTGGGGAGGGAACACTGCAAAAATAAAAATAAATAAATAACCATTTCTGTAGGTCAAAACTGGTGAATATAGGCACTTTCATTTGATTCAACCTAGTATTAAGGTTGTTTGAGCAGATATATTTTAACATTTTATTTCCTTCCTGATGACTGAATTTGGCATAATTTAAAATTTTATTCACCTTAATATTAAATAGTTATGCTGGTTTAGTTATATAATATATATACATACATACATACATATATATATATATATATATATATATATATATATATATATATATATATATACATATACACACATATATGCACATACCCACACACACACACACACACATATATATATTCATTTTCTGTTGAAATGGAAAACATGAGAACCTGGAAAGTTTCTTGATATTCTGCCTATATTTTGTAGATCAAATGATATCTCCTATTTCCCAAAAGTACACAAATACATTTACAAAATTACCTCAGTTACCAAGATAGATGATTTACTTTTCCTTGGTTTCTTAATGGTTAGCTCTGGTGGTAAATTAGCTAGTTTGCCAATTAGCTGTTGTAAAAAATAATAACAATGCACAGGGCATTTATAATTAAGTGTGAATTAAAGTAAATCACAGGGGCTGGTGGGTTGCTCTAGTGGTGTAGTGTAAGAAGGTTAGCAGTTTAAATCCACCGGCCACTCCTTGGAAGGAAGATTGGGCGATCTGTTTCCCTAGAGATACCGCCTCGGAAATCCAAGGAGGAAACCCAAGGAGGAGTTGCTGTGAGTCAGATCCAACTCGACAGCAGTGAGGGTTGTTGGTGTTTTTTTTTTTTTTTTTTTTTTTTTTGGTGGGTTGTGAAAGCAATTTTTCACTACTGTGCTTTCCCAAATTCCTTCTCTCTACTAAGTTTCTCTATTGGGAGCTCTGGTGGCGTAGTGACTAAGGCATTTGACTACTAACTAGAAGTCTAGTGGTTCAAACCCACCAGCCACTCCTCAGAAGGAAGATTGGGCAATCTACTTCCATAGAGATACTACCTCGGAAACCCAAGGAGGGGTAACTATGAGTCTAATTGACTCAACAGCAGTGAGTGTTTTTGTGAGTGAGTGCTCTCTAAAGTAGTAGCCACTAGCCACATGCAACCACTAAATTCTTGAAATGTGGCTCATGTGACTGGGGAACGGTTTTTAACTTAAATTTTAATAGGTACATTTGGTTATCAAACCAAAACCAAGCTCACTGCCATCGAGTCAATTCTGACTCATAGTGACCCCTTTTGAGTTTCCAAAGGGTGAATCTTTACAGAAGCAGATTGTCCAGTCTTCCTTCCACTGAGTGCCTCATGGGTTTGAACCACCAACCTTCTGGTTAGCAGTCAAATGCCTTAGGCACTATGCCACCAGAGCTCCTTTACATTTGGTTAGTGGTTCCCATATTGGACAGTCCAGCTCTTGACTAGAGGTAACCTCATTTATTTTAGCTTTTAAGCCACAGTTTTCAGACCTGCTCAATTTTCTGAACCTTTTCTAGATTTAATCTTGATCTGTTTCATACTTTATGGGCCATCTTTCCTCTGTGTTGTAGCTTACTCTTAATTCTGTTCACATCCCAGCATTACAGTTTGGTTATTCATTGATGGGTACTTAGGTCGTTTCCATCTCTTTGCTCTTGTGAATAGTGCTGTGATGAACATGGTTGTGCATATATCTATTCATGCCCCTGCTGTCATTGCTTTAGGATATATACCTACTAATGGGATTGCTGGATCAAATGGTATTTCTGTTTACAGCTTTTTAAGGAAGCACATACCATTTCCCACAGTGGTTGTACTATTTTACAGTCCCACCAGCAGTGTATGAGAGTTCCAGTATCTCCACATTCTTGTTGGCATTTGTTATTTTCTGTCCTGTTGAACTCTGCTGTTATTGCTAGGATGAGATATTTAATAGTTACTTTGATTTGCATTGCTCTACTGGCTAATGATCCTGAGCATTTCTTGTGTTTCTTGGCCACATGAATACCGTCTTTGGTGAAGTGTTTGTTCCCATCCTCTGCCCATTTTTTAATTGAATTGTTTGTAAGATGAAATCATTTTAATGTATTCTTTTTGATGTGTTTTATTCCTTAATACATTCATTAGCAGACTATTCTAAAGTTTGGATATTTGGGGGCCCAAGGTCCCTAGATAAAATCAGATCTTGAAAAGAAGGACCCACCAGTGTCTGATGCAGGAAACTTTCTTTGTTGGTTACTAGGGATGGGAGGGAAGAGGAGGAAAATTGCTAGCTGGCAAAGAGACAGTATTGATTTGGGTGAAGGGAAAAGCAGTATACCAAGAGTGAGTGACCATCACAATAACACTAAGAAAAAGGAAGACACAGTGAGGTATACAAGAGGTATAGACAGCAAAGGTAAATATTTTTACATACATAATACTGCATTATCATTAATAATAACAAACATGAATCTACAGGTGGATACATAGGTAGACAGGCAAAATGATCAGGTAGGCAAATGGGAATATTCCCATGAACATATATAGGTTTGGCAGACGATATTTCTACATACATATTTGTATGTGCTGTGAGATTGTCCATATATATATATAATGACGCTAATGGGGCAAAGTTACTACTTAGCCACAGCCAAACACCTTGAGGGAGTGAGTTGCTGGGTCCACGGGCTTGGGACCGTGGGCTTATGCATACCTGCCCTCTGAACTTTCTCCCTACACGAATGCTATCCTTCAGATCTCCCATGGCTGATTGTTCTAAGAAGTGCACCTCCCTGGTGTAATTGTTCACCTCACAGGCCTATTATTTGGCTGGAAGTTAAGCCACGGGAGTGGTCCCCCATGGTCTGGGGGACATAAAACTCAATTGGCGGAATATATTACACAAAAACATTGTTCTGCATCCCCCTTTAGTGAGTAGTGGCTGGGGTCTTAAAAGCTTGTGAGTGGCTCTCTGAGATTCAGCAGTTGGTCTCTCCTCATCCAGGGAAAAGAAGAGCAAAGAAAACCAGAGACATATGGAAACAGTTAATCCAAGGGACTAGTGGAGCATGGGAACCTCAGCCTACATGACCCTAAGACCAGAAGTACTAGATGATGCCCACCTGCCACTGTCAGCCACTCAGAAAGGGATCAAAATAGGAGGTCCTGGATAGAGTCAGAGAAAAATGTGGAGCAGAACTCAAAATCATGAAAAACACCTGGCTTACTGCTGTGATAGAGACTGGTGAAACCTGTGAGACTCTGGTCCCTCATCACCCTTCAGCCTTGAATAGAACTCACCCCCGTGGCTTAACTTGCAGCCAAATAATAGGCCTGTGAAGTGAACAGTTACACCAGGGAGGTACACTTCTTAGAACAATCAGCCATGGGAGATCTGAAGGGTAGCATTCATGTAGGGAGAAAGTTCAGAGGGCAGGTATGCATAGAAAAGAGGGACATGGGGAAAAGGTAACCACAGGGAGGAGTTGAGAAGAGAGCTGTTACATTGTGGGGATTATAATCAATGTCATGAAACAATGCGTATGAACTCTTGAATAGAAAATGAATTTGCTCTATAAACTTTCATCCGAATCATGATAAATAAATTTTTAAAAAGATTTCATCTTAAATCTTCTGTTGAAAGCATTACAAGAAAATCTGTATATTTAAAGATAACATTAAAGAAAAAAAAAGTATATCTGTTGAATAATCACTCACTCACTCATTGTTGTCGAGTAGGATCCGACTTGTAGCGACCCCTCCTTGGGTTTTGAAGGCAGTATCGCTACAGAAGTAGATTGCCCAACCTTCCTTGCAAGGAGTGGCTGGTGGGTTTGAACTGCCAGCCTTCTGGTTAACAGTCAGATTCCTTAGGCACTACACCACCAGAGCTCCCTATTGCGTAATAAATAATAATAAATAATATCTACATTAAATATTCTTGTTATAAAAAAACATAATTTTTAGATATAAAGAAATTTAAGTGTTTCCCTTTCTTACTGGTCTTTTGGTAGGACTTTTTTCCTAATAAGTTATTAGGGTTGTAGGGATGAGAGCTTGTATAAAATACGAATCCCATTAAGGGAGAGCTGCAGCAGAGAGGAGGAGGTTGGGGTCCTAAAGATAAACATCATTTTCTCTTTTAATTTACAGAAGTTGCTGGGTGTGTTTTGCCACTGATGAAGATGATAGAACAGCTGAATGGGTGAGACCTTGCAGGTGCAGAGGATCGACAAAATGGGTCCACCAGGCTTGTCTACAGCGCTGGGTCGATGAAAAACAAAGAGGAAACAGTACAGCCAGAGTGGCATGTCCTCAGTGCAATGCTGAATACTTAATAGTTTTTCCAAAGTTGGGTAAGAAGATCCTAATAAAGAGAACAAATATCTTTGATGTTATATAACTCTTATGATCTCAGGTTTATTTTTAAATGATCTCTATTTTTTGTAAATTTCTTACTCCCTTTTTGTTTCTTCTCTAAATGTCAGACATTTGTTTTGGTAATACTTTATAATATCCTTTAATATATCCAAAATCCATCCATTTGACTATATTAACTCTTTTTATTTGGTTGAGCCAAGAAATAATTTGCATATTTAATTATATGGATAAAATCAAATAGCAAAGCTCTAATAAAAACTGGCTAAAGAGCCTTATTTTCTCATGACAGTTGATGTAGAGGAAAGTAAGCAATAGTATGTATCCTTAATTCTTCTGTTAAGAAATAAAAGTAGAGAAGGGAATAATTTAGTAAAATACAGAATTAAACTCATCCTTGGAATCCGTTTTATGTAGTTATCTTTCATGAAAACTAACCCTTACCTGGGAATTGGTAGGCAAAGAATAAGCAGAGATGTTGAGAATGGGGGCCACACTGTTTAAAGCTTGCTCCACTGTGCCCATACAGTTATAAACTGGTGTCATTCTCTTTATTTGATGTTTGTGCCTTGTCAGTTGGTAAGCATTTTTAATGTCCTTATTTGTAGGCAAGAGGTGTAAGGTTTTGGGGAAGTCAGAAGGAAGGAATTACTTTGGGAGGAATGGGATTTCGGGGTTTAAGGAGAAATTAGAAATAATTATTAGATATATTGTTTTTTCTGGGTGCTATACATTTTGAAGGAGCCCTGGTGGTGCAGTGGTTAAAGTGCTTAACTGCTAACCAAAAGGTCAGCCATTGGAACTCACCAGCTACTCTGCTGGAGATAGATATGGCAGTCTGCTTCTGTAAAGATTTACAGCGTTGGAGACCCTATGAAGCAGTTCTACTCTGGCTAATAGGATCACTATGAGTCAGAATCATAGTCACTGTCAACTTGATGGCAGTGGGTTTAATTTGAGTACATATTGAATCCAGACTCATGTTTTTTTATATACATTTATGTATTTATGTATACATAAATACAGACAATGAAGTCCTTTTCTAATGCAAGAAGGTTAATAATGATAAAAATTCCCATGATTGTATTTTTCTAACAATAATGGATAGGAAGAAATGATAGCTGCAAGCAGTATTTCTCAAGCATTTGGAATACATAGATTATGTGATGGGTCTGCATACACAGTACTGTCTTTAAATAAAGTAAACACAAAGAAATAATCTAAACTTTTAAACTATTAAGATCAAAGCAGTATTTTAAAATAACAGACATCAAAGAAAGCAATTATTGCCTCAGTCTTTCACATTTATATCTGTCTTACTCATGTCAAAGTTAAAGTTTTATATTTAATTGGTTTGTTTTCCTACTCTTTAACTTTAGTAAATTCAGTAATCCCCCTGTTTAATTATAGGATGTTGGGAATAGTAGCAAGTATATAGTGATTCTGTTCGATATTTTAGGTATTCAAATTAAGGATGGACACAAAAATTACTGCAAGATCTCTCTCTGAAAATTACATACAGCATTCTATCAGGTACTGAAAAGTAAGGTGAATATTTTGTTTTGAGAGATGGCAGTAGATAGAATTCTAATCTCTCCTTTTGGTTGTATTCAGTTCTAGGAAATATTTTCAGGTTGAGTGTAGTAAATGAATGTGGTTTTTAAGTATACCTAAGACATTAATTTCTTTCTGGAACCAGGCAAGAGTTGGAAAAGAGTCAAGCTCTCTTCGTTTAAGCCATTTGTTTCATGTTTTGATCTTCATATATTATCCTTAAGAATTGTGATATTTCATCTTCAAGTGATAGTTCAGGCTTTTTGCTATACTGTATGTGTCATGGAATATGGCACTTGAGTAAGCCACTTGAAACCATAAAAATGTTTTATTGATGTTATCAGTGTCATGTAAAAATTTGTTATCCTTCATTTCAAAAGTTTTTGTTAACATCTTTCCTTGTGACAGGATAGAAAAGCAGCCTTATATTTTTTGTCTTACATAAACTTGTTTAGTTTATTGCAAGGTAGTCATGACAAGGCACACAAGTGAGACCTCAAGACATTCATTTAAGCACCAGAGAATCAGAATTAACAATTACTATGTTAGTTTAAATGTTGGATGCCAAGTCTTTAGACTTCAGGCTTTTACCTTTAACGAATGGTCTTGAGAGGCCTTGAATTCAGAGGAGGGTCCCCCATAGCTAGGATCTTATTTCTTCTTTCATGCTGAAGGTACCTGTGCAGGGATTCTAATTGGAATCATAGTCACAGTTTTCTTTGTGTTCTTTAACACTGACTCAGTGATAGAAGGCATGTTGTCAACTGGCAGCTGTTGTCTGTGAATGAAGCTATCTGTGTGTGTGAATTGGCTTTCAGGTGCTGTGCTCTTTCTTGAAAATGGCTAGTGCTCTGGCCATACTGATCTCAGTCCTCCTTCCCAAGCCTTTATCAACATTCAGAAATAATTGTAGGTTAAAAGGAAACACTTTTCCATAACATAAGTTTCCCTTGATAAAAGTCACTTCTATTTCTTGATTTACATATTACATGTATATTTGCCAATGGTTGATTCATACTTTACACACTAGTAGTTTTTTCCACCCAGCCATAAAACAAAATACCTAAACGCATACGTGTGTGATAGTAATTATTCTTACTCATTGTGTACCATGCATGTTACATAGTATCTGGTAGTGTCATCTGATGATGAAATTCTGCCAGTAGATTGTTTCTTTTCTCTCTGAGTATATTTGTCATTAATTTTGTAGCTAACAATAGTTACATCTTTCTTTTTAAAAGAAATCCCTTTGAATATAGTTTTGATCCTTGTTTTTAATGACAAAACTCATAATGGAGGCTTTGATTGGTTTACCAGAACAGCTGAAAATAATGTGAAAGCTTCAGTGGCTTCTTATCTTTATTTTATAATGTTCATAAGACACAGTACAGTGGGAACAAAGGGGTCTCCTAATGGAGACTAATCAATCCAAATTCGTTGGTCATGGCCCATTCTAAGATCACACTATTTTCATTGTAAGATAATTCTGTTTTCATTTATGACATTCTGTTAAATGTATTTTTATCACTTTTTACTCCTTTGAGCTATTAATTATTTTTACTAAATTTGTGTTTTAACACACAAAATATGACAGTAACAAGACACATATTTAACCAGTGTAAATAATTCACATGATGTGAAAGCTTAAAACAGTACTCTCTTCAGAACTTAAAAAGAATTTCTTTGAAAGTCATAATTAATCTTTTCAAATCTATGAAATATGTGTGATCAAAACTTTTATCACTTTCTCCTCAAACTGCCTGCAGACTACTTGATAGATTGCCAAGGACCATTGGTCCCTAAGCCACACTGAGAAACACTGGCTAGAAGAAGGAATAAAAGACACAAGAGAAGATGCAGAGAGGAAGAGGTGATGGTTAACATTCTATGGAATGATCTCTGTGTAGCAGGTATTAAAAAAAAAAAAATGGTTTGCATATGGTTTTCATATGGATTTAGCATTGGCTGTCTAGATAGCCAGTTCTGCATCTTTTCTGGTATTGAGTGGTGGCAGGGATAGAGTGATGATGATAAATACATTTTCTTAATTCTTAATAAGGGAATGTGTTATGCACAAGTGTGAAAAAAAATAGAGGACACACCAGAGTTTCATCCCTCATACTATTTGCCACCTGTTTTACCGATTGCTGTCAAGTCTCCAACTCGTGGAGACCTCTTGTGTATGAGAGTAGAACTATGCTTCATAGGATTTTCAACCAAAAAAAACCCAAACCCATTGCCATTGAGTCAATTCTCACTCATAGTGACTCTAGGACAAAGTAGAATTGCCCCATAGGGTTTCCAAGGCCTAATCTTTACAGCAACAGACTGCTACATCTTTGTGCAGTGGAGCAGCTGGTTGGTTTGAACCACCAGCCTTTTGGTTCACAGCTGAGCACTTTAACCACTGTGAGTTTTCAGTAGCTGATTTTTTCTGAAATAAATTGTTAGGCCTTTCTTCAGAGGCACCTCTGGGTGAATAAGAACTACCATCCTTTTAGTTAGAAGCTGAATGCTTAACCATTTGTACCACCCAGGGACTCACCACCCATCTTAGAGTTTGCTTTCTTCTCTCTTCTGTCTTCTATTGAGTTAGGCCAGTTGTATGCATATAGCTACTTTAAAACATTGCTTTTTGAAGGGTGGTCCAAGGACCAGCAATATTGGCATCATCTGGGAGCTGTTAGGAATATAGAACCTTGGGTTCTATCCATTTTACTGAATCAAAATAATGTATTTTAACAAGATCCTCAGATGATTTATATACACATTGAAGTTTAAGAACCATCATTGCTTTAAAATACAAATCAGCTGAAAAAATAATCCTCCATAAAAATAAAGCATTTCCATAAAGTTTGAGACCTGTGGCAATGTTGTTTAGCTAAACAGAACAATTCAGAGAGTGTATCTCAGAAGTAGAGATCTTGACTCTACAACACCCAAGGGTCGAAGGGACTGATTTCACATTAGGTTGCTTTTCTTTTGTTAGTATCTTTTAATGATGTTTTGTAATTTTCAGTATTTAGTTCTTAAATTTTTTTTTTTTGTAATTTTTATTGTGATTTGGGCAATAGTTCTTAAGCCTATTTTGTTAAGTTTATTCCTAAGTATATTATTATTTCTGTTGCTATTGTAAATGGAATTTGTTTTCCTGATTTTGTTTGTATTGTTCATTGTAAATGTATAGAAACAAATATTTTTTTAATATTGATCTTGTATCCAGCAACCTTGATGAACGATTTAGTAACTCTAATAGTTTTTAATAAACATCTTTGGATTTTTTAGATACAAAATCATAACATCTGTGAATAAAATACTTTTACTTCTTTTTTTCTAATCTGGATTCTTTTATTTCATTTTCTTGCCCAATTGCCCTGGCTAGAATCTCCAATACAATGTTGCATAGAAGTGGTGAGAGGAGACA